AAAGTCTCTTGGGATCAAGCTCAAAATTTTACCATAGCATCCTCACTGGAGCCCTAGCATATCCTGAAAATTTCATATGTTTTGCATGTTCTATGAAAAAAGTTATCTTTTGGGTGGTGGGGCCTTAAGACATCATTTTTCCAGATAGTTCAGCCATGGTCTGCATGAAATAAATACGTTTTAATACCTGATAAAACTTATGTCACACATTTTTTGCACATATACTATTGTTTATTCTCTTTATACAGTCAGTCTGATGATTTGCTAATATTATTATACTATTATATAGCTCCAAGTGTCCCCTAGCAAATATTTGAGTTTGGTTGTAGAACAACAAAAATCATTGCAAGAGAAGGGATTAAAAGACAACCCCTCACCTTGCATTTGACGCCAAAGTACTATAATAATCATTGGTCGATTCTTCACTAGTATTGCGTATTATGAATGTTTCTAGAGACATGACAAGTATTATAAAAAAAAACTATAATTCATTTCAATTCAGAGACGAATTTATGACAGTAGGAATTCAAAAACTCAAATGGGGTACAACTTTTTTTGGGGTGCAAAATGGCAAAATGGGGCACTGTATCCCACAAAGGGGTACGTATGGCAGCCCTGAGAGGAACACAATAATTGATCTCAAGAAAGACATGTTCGTTTTTGTTGAAATTTTCAGGACTATTAAACATGCCTATAATCAAAATTTCACGTACAAAATTCTGTGTTTTAAAATTTTCCAGTAATGCTTTGCTCTGAGTAAAAGTTTCATTGCAACGTCTATAACTCTTTATCAGTAGATCATGGAACCAAATCCTTTTAAGTTTGTCTTCTTAGTCTCGCTAACACTTACTCATAGGCATAATATGAAGTCGAACGACGTCCAACAGTTGGGTATGTTTTTTCATAGCCTGTACATGTCTAATGTAATACTATTTTCCTATTTATCACTTTTAGAGTCTTTCAACTAGGGTTGGATTAAGAGAGAGAGCGTGAGATAAAATCTTCGTCGAGTAGGGTAAGAGTTAGAAAATTTTCCTCAGTCACAGTGCAGAGTACGAAAAAAGCTTACGCTGTACATCTCTACTCTTAACATAATAACTCATCATAAACTTCTTCCATATTCATCGGTGTATGTGTAGTAAGAATCCTAAATTTTCATGAAAATTCGATATTATATGATTGTTTCTGTTTTCTAAGATTTTCTTATTCGATTGATTATTGATTTACATTTTGTTCTTGGACTTTTGTTGTTATTGATGTTGATGAGATTCCTTTATCATCATGTGATGATTGTTTAGATGACATTTGAATAATCGATTGTTGTTCGTATCGTTCACGTTCCAATTCAGCAAGTTTTTCAATAAAATACATTTTTTCTTTTTTTAATGAAGAATTTTCTCTTAATTTTTCATCAAGTACATTTCTTATATCATTTAATTCAATTTGTTTAATATCTTTATCATATTCCATTTGTTGTAAATTTAATTGTAATAATTCTAAATTTTTTATTAAATCTTCATGTGATTTTTTTGCTTGTTGTAATGATATTAATTCTTGTTCTTTTTCAATTAATAATGATGAAAGAAGTTCATTTTGTGCTGTTAATTGTTGTTTTTCACCTGGTGTTATTGATAAAAGTGATTGTCTTGATGGTGCACGTTGTTGAATTCCAAGAATTTCTTCTAATTCATCTTCATCACTTTCAGATGATTTATCTTTATTTAATAAAGTTTGTTCTTCTTGTAATTGTGTTAATTTATGTGTTGTTAATTCTAAATGTGTTCGTAATTTTTCAAGTTCATCTTCTCTTTCATTAAGTATTTGTTTTAAAGAATCAAGTTCTTCTTGTATTATAGAAAATGTACCAATATATGTTGAGAATTGTTCAAAAAGATTAGCAAACCGATCTTCAAATGATATATGAGTATCATTTGAAGATGTATATTCACATGGTAGAAGAGTAAGAAATTGATTATAGATGGAATTTATTTGACGAAATTGTTTTTCATTTTGAGAAATTTGACTTTCGAGTTCAAATAAATGATCAGATGATGTTTGTGGAGATAGAGAAACGTCTCGAATTTGTGATGATATATTAATCATGGGTGGTGCACCAGGTGTCGCAGTGAAAGTCTAAAAAAGAAGAGTATCATACTCAATTGAAACATATCAATGATCATTTAAGAAGTGTTTTTTAAAAGCTGTCACATATTCATATGTTTAATATTCCTATTGAAGCAATCTGATGAACTCGAATTCCTTTGAAATGTCATTTGTGACAGAATAGAGCAAGTACTCGTACTCAAGAAGATCGGTTTTAGTGTCCTGCAGTCAGATCGGGTATGCAACATCTGAATCCGACCTAGCGAAGAATCATCAGAAGTAACACTGATAATGATGAAAAAAAGAAAGAACAAAAACTGATAATATAAGAGTGGATAATATATTAAAAGAATTCGATTCAAATAAGAAGTTTATCTACGGATGATGATGATTCATATGATTAGATAGTTGAATATATGAAAAGTAAAGTGTATCATCAAAACATTGAAAATATATTATTGTAGTAGAAAAAACGTTCATGCCTTTTGTCTACAATTATCACGTTCATTAGCAACAAAACACTACTCTCCATTCCAGGATCATTAGCAACAAAGCGAACGTATATTCAACGAAACTGAAACAATTTTCGAAGTACAAAGACAGCAGTTGAATCCTGAATCACCTGTGTTTTGTTTGCAAAATTTCAGATGACTCGTTTTTTTATCGTTATTAATTGATGAAATTAAAATGATAGTATATTTTGTTATATGAAACAAAAGTTTGAAAAGTGTACGTGACTGCGAAAATACGTGCCAAACGTCAATAATGTTAGTTTAGTTTCGGTTGTAAAAAGAGGTGCCGATCCGGGTACAGGTGCGAAAGTGGTACTCGTGCTCAAGAAAATTTGTACTTGTTCAACTTCGATTTGTGACTTTGTTTTGAGTTTTAATAAAATTAATAAGTCTGCTAAATACCTTCTTTAGAGAAAAAAAAGATAGTCAAGATTTTGTTCTTTCATCAACTGAAGATATTTTGGGTTAGATTATTATTCAACATTGTATTCTTTTATACAAACTTGAAAATTTTGAATTAATCAATCTTTTGATTGTACCTGTTGTCGAAGTTCATCTATTTGATAATTAAGTTCATTTTTATCATTTTCTAATGATTGTACTTGTTCATTAAGTTCAATTATTTGTCGTTCAAGCATTTCTCGAACATATATTTCTTTTAAATGATTTTCTTGTTCCTTTTAATAAAAAAAAAAAATTAAATAGAATTTTTCACAATTTCTATTTAATATTTTACTTGATCATCTTTCGATTGTTGGAGATTATTTATCTGTTTTTGAAGATTTTCTCGTTCATTTCTCTACAAGAAAAAAAAAGATGGAGAAAAACAAAATGAAAAACTATCAATCATAGGACTTCAAACTTCAATTTCAATTTGCTTGTCTTTATTTTGAAGTTGATTTTCAAGATTTATTTTTTCTTGCTGAAATCTTTCGTTTAAGTTAGTTTCAATTTGTAAAATTTTTTCTTCCGATTGTTTTTTTTCATTTTTCATTTGTAAACGTGTTTCTTCAAGAAGATCAACTATTGCATCATATCGTTTTCGTTCTTCAACAAGACGACGATTCAGATCTTCATCAGCACCGGCTAAAACAAAAAATTATTTTTAAATATTTTTTCTATAGAATATGCAAAGAATTCAAATAAGAAATGTTTTTTTTTTTATTAATACTTTGTTGTTTTTTCTTATTTGACTGTAATTGATTAAGTTCTTCTTGTAATTGAGAAATTGTTTCTTCATATTCATCAAGACGTTCTAAAGCTAATTGATTATTTCGTTGTTGTGATTGTAAACGTTGTAAATCATTTTCTAATTGTCTATTACGAGATGTTAATAAATCGATATTTGATTGTAAATTAGAATATTCCTTTTTAGAAACAAAAAAAAAAAAGAAAATTTTATATTGACAAAGGAACATTACTAGATGTTCGCGTCTATTTGAGTTGATATTTTACCCATAAGTAGGCCTTGTGAAACTATCAAAAGTCTCAGAAGGATTTATGTTCATGAATGTTCCTTACCGAGTTTGGGATTGTTCAAGTAGTTTTCATGCACATGAAAGTAATGGCAAAAGGTTTTAGGTAAAAAATAAAAGGTAGGAGAGACTGTTAATCTTTTTTCAAATGAACTTAATGATAACTAGATATACTAGATTTTCCAACGCTTTTTCTTCAGTACCACTTTCATTAGAATATAAACTGTTCATCTTCATAATTTTCATATGAAGTCGAATATACACTACTCATCAATGCGATAAATGCTTGTATTTCATGAGAAAATCATGGTAAAGTTTCAAGAAATTTTAAGATTTATCTAATTATTTATTATTAAATTCACTTTGAAAAAGATTTACATTCTTCTCTATCTTTTCATAGTTACCAAAAAGCATTTGCCATTACTTTCATGTGCAATGAAAATACTCGAACAATTCAAAACTTGGCAAGGAACGTCCATGAGCACAAAACCTTCGGAGTCTTTTCATAGCTCTTGCCAAGGTCTACTAATCGATAAAATATTAGCTGAAAAGGACGCGGACACCTGTGAATATTCCTTCATGAGAAGGATAATAATAAAAAATATTTTACCTTATTGTTCATTTCGATTGTTTCGGATGATTCATTTTCTAAAAATAATAGAAACTGAATAGTTTTTCTAGAATAATTGAATAACAAACTTTGAAAATCTCCATTCCAATCTTCAAGTTCTGTAATACGTAATTGTAATCTATGAATTTGTTCTTGATATTCTTTCTCAATTTTTTCTTTTGATTCAAGTATGGTTTTTAAACTAAACATTTCATTTTTCAAATGAATATTTTCATCTTTTAATTCATTTAACATTTTTTGATATTTAACAAATTCATTAACATTCGGTTGATCATCTGAAGAAAAAACAAATGAATACAAATCAACCTTTAAATCTAACTATGAAGGAAATCAGTGCGTGTATTACTTGATAAAAGAATATTGTTAGTTTCTTGAAGTTGTTTTAATTCATTCTAGAATAATCAAACAAAAATCAGTATTTTTTTTTAAAAATTGATTCTAATCTTACATCTTTTTCTTCAATTATTTGACGACTTTCATCTAATAACATATGTGATCTAATTTCTATTGCTTGTTTTTGTTTAGTAAGTTCATCACATTGTTTTTTCAATGATGTACACTAAATAATATTTTTTTTGAATATATACAAATATATATAAAATATCTCCTTTACTTCTTCAAATAAAGTTTGTTTTTCTAATTCAAAATGATCAGTATCTTGTTGAACTTGATTTAATTCAATTGTTCTCTGAATATTAAATGATTGTTTGCTAGTTAAAGATGAATCATGAATTGAATTGTTCGTATCATCTGACATTTGCTGGTTGCTCATTATTTTCGATAAAGTAATTTAACAAGCAAAAAGAACAGTATGAGAAATACATTTAGTAATTATCATATGATTCATATGTTACTATAAGAGGATAGAAAAACACTCCAGTGATATAATATGTTCAGATGTCGCTACAGATTTTTCGACATCTATTACAAGAAGAATATATATACAACTCTTATCAATACTTGTTGATTTGACATTTACGACCAGAATAATATGCGAACAGATTGTATACAGTTATGTAAGATCTAGATTATATTATTATTTTGAGAGCTTTTCAACATTCAAGATAATGACGGCAAAATTTGAAGAAAAATTTCAAACTATATTAAGATACTATTTCAATTTGAATATCGATAAAAAAAAAACTGTAAAGCTGACTGATAATATATTATATCAACAATATGAAATAGTTATTTCATTTGTCAATTATTAGCGCATGTGTTTGCAAAAAAATAGAGCACAAAGAGTATTAGATTGTACCATAATTGAAAATTTTATTTATTCAATTTTGAAAGAAATAACAGAAGAAGATTCTCTTTTCATAGACAATGTACAATTTATGACCATACTAATATCAACATTTTAAAACTCTTTGATTAAAAACCGTTCGAGTTTTTTTATATTTGTTTTTTTTTTAATTTTTAACTTTCAACTGTATGTCTCACAACTAGTCAAATGTTTTCTATCTGACTTCGATACAGATTGTTAGCTGATTGCTTTATTATTTGAGGTTATAACCTTGTTGCAGATGCTAATTTTTTTCAAAATTTCATTAAAAAAAGAAATGAATTGTTAAAGAATATAACACTTCTTCAGATTTTTTATATATTTCCATTTATAGTTTTTGGTATTATCTTATCATGATAACAGGTTTATTGATGAGTAACTCTTTTATCTTTGACATTTAGGACATATCGTCGACCGTTTCTCCTTGGATGCTCAATTGAATTTATTTGTTTTGATTTATTGATATTATGAATAGAGGGTCCTCATTGAAGACTTCATTCTACGCTTCACAAAACTGGTTAATCTCACGAGTTTGCTTCAATAATGTAATATGAACATAGAACAGTTTTTTTTTTCGAAAGAGAATCGGATGATATTATTAATTTCTCTAAATTCAAAACAAAAATAATTGCACTTTAATAAGATCAGGTATGTTCAAGCATATGTTGACCTCTTCCTATATGGTAAGTAGATAAAATTTGATTGTATGACAAAGCAGATATTTAATATGAGTTTTTTTATGAAATATCTAGCTTCATGCTGAACATGTTGTGACAGTCGATTAATAAATACTAAAGTGACAAATAATGACACAAATATTTACATTTCTCAAAAGATACACTAAATAGTTGTTTTTGTATCCTCGGAAGACCTGTGATAATATATATAACCAATGTTTCACTTGTATTCAAGAAATAACGATATGATTAAAAGTGCTTTTGTTCACTTGGAATTTGATATCAGGTTTTCCATTGTTGACATCATTCCGATTAAAGAAAGGATAGTCTCACTTAAATCTACACGAAACCGATCAAGTAAAAAGTACCTATCTTTTGTAGTTTTATTACTTGAACGAATATTTATATTCGTCAGAAATCATCATTGAATATGGTCATCTACCAGTCAATGATAGTAAATTGTTAATTCCAGAGTTCTTCAATGCATATAAGCAAAATTTCATAATCGATAAATAATTATTATTTGGATCAATTCGACAACTTCTTTCTTGCTTTTAATTGCTTCGAACTTGTTTCAAAAACAGCCATAAATCTCATATTTGGCGTCTTATGACTTCTTATTTGTTGTTGACTCTATGACTATATAATCTTTTTTTTGTGTATGAAGACACATCGTAAATTATTTTCTCATAATTGTCTACAAAAGAAGTAAAAAATAAACAGCATGTTGGATTGAATATTTTGAATCCGACATTGATCGCAGTGATGTCTGATCATGATGCTATCTTTTATCTTGCCAAATTCACATTTTAAAAATATTAACAAATCTACTATATATAAAACAAGAAAAAGAAAAAATTATTTTGTTTAAATAAACAATCATAGATTTGGTACGACTTTCTATCCTCACATTGTTTAGGATAGTTTGTTCACTTACTTGTTGATCCTCTCAAACTTTTAGAATTAGAATTTATAGACGTTATTAAAAAGTAGTCACCTGTTGTTATTGTCGAACTTGAGTCTATCATTTTTTCTGATCGATTTTTAATCCAGATTTTATAGTTCTATTACAGGCAATGTTTCAGCCTTTAATTTTCTCAATGCATACTAATTGAAAGCAACGACACATCAAAGTACCAAAGCATTTGAATGTAACACGAGAACGGTATTCTTATGACGGAAAGTTTTTTTTTTATATGTATATTTTTTGAATAATGCCAGTAGGTGGGTGTGGGGTGTGCTTGTGGGTGAGAGTGGGTCAAACGAAGACCCAAACCCACACCCTTCCATTATTCTTTGAATAGAACGTGAGATGTATATGGAAGAACATTTCTTTTCGTTGGTTTGAATAACTTTCGGTAGTTCAACCAGTAATTGATTAAATGATTTTACATCATTTGCATAAAGTGTAAATGAATGTGATCGATTTGCTTGTATATTCATAATTCTGACATCTAGTAAATGAGTTTTGATGAGATGACTTATTTTAACTTTGGTGAGTGACTCCACTTCAACAATCAATGGCGCAATTCTAAATTGTTGTTTCATATCTGATGATTGTTGTTTTTCATCTTCAATTGCAGATCGCTGTGATGCGTTGATGATTGGTGTTCCTGTCCTTGGATTGTCTTGTTTACCTTTTTTTCTTTCTCGAACACCTTCGACTCTTTTTGACGGCATGGTAATGGTCTTGTCAGATAAAATGGTTTTTATTGATTTATTTATTTATAGTTTGGTGGTATTTTAATAGTTTATCAATTATGTTTATAAATGTGTATATGGATATATATTTTTTTTTCAACTTTAAAATTGCCCTTGCTTGACCTCTCACTGCAAACAAAAAAAAAATATGAAAAAATACGTCTAATCGATAGGGTATAAGAAAGAGGAATGACGGTATTCGATACAACCTATATAGAACACACAGAAAAAAGAAAAACAAATAATTACTTTTATTTTTTTGTGAGCTTTATATTTAAAGGATACAAATATTATTTTAAGTCTTACCATCTCAAATAACATCCGTTTTCCTATTTTATCTTCGTGAAATAAACCACATTTCATCTAAAGTATATTTGTAGATAAGATGCCTTTTCGTGATCAATGGCGTGATGTAAAATGTTTACATAATGATGGAATTCCAATAGATACAACTAGTAATGAAACAGCAAAATTATTTGATGCAGCTATTACGCAATATACTGGTTGGTACGTAAATTTATTTTAAAAAAATCGAATCAAATTATATTTCTTTTTCAGGTATAATGATAAACAATTAGGTGGTATTGAATCATGCATATCTCGTCTTCTATCATCTGATCCAACATGTATTACAAGTCGAATTTTTGCTACTGGTCTTAATTTACTTGGAACAACATTTCCGTCGTCATCTCTTCACTCTAAAACTCTTGAATCACTTGGAGATACGATATCATCTAATAAATATATTAATCTTCATAGTCAAGCTCTTATTCAATGGTCACTTGGTCAATTTGAAAAAGCAACGGATATATGGGAACAAATTCTTGTTCTTTATCCATTTGATATGATGGCAATTAGATTTGTAGCTGATACATATTTTTATATTGGTAATCGAGATATGCTTCGTGATTCAGTTGCACGAATTTTACCTATCTGGGAAACATCATCAGATCGTCCATTAAAATCTTATTTATATGGAATGTATGCATTTGGTTTAGGTGAAACAAATATGATTGAAAGAGCTGAAAAAGAAGCTCGACATGGTTTAGAATTAAATCCACATGATGCTTGGGCAACACATGCAATGACACATGCTATAGAATATGCTGGAGATACATCGAAAGGAATTGATTTTTTGAAAAGAACTAATCAAAATTGGGAAACATGTGATATTATTAAACCACATATTGATTGGCATTGGGCTTTATATGAATTAGAACAAGGTAATAGAGAAATAAGTGAAGATATCTTAAATCGTATATTAAATAAAGATAATGAAATGATTATGTTAGATTTCCATGATATGGCATCACTTATTTATCGTCTTAAACTTGCTGGAAAAGAAACTTCAACTATTAATTCATCAACTCGATTAAAAAAATTTTTAAATGATCATTTACATGATCATACAGTAATATTTAATGATCTTCATATTTATTTTATATTAGATGATTATGCAGAAGCGGAAGATCGAAATAATTTTATTCGTACATTAAAAGATGCGTATGATACATCAGACTCTGACAAAGGACATGTTTATCGTCAAGTAGGAAAGTATATATTTCAAGCTTTGGATCAATTTAAAGAAAAAAATTATTCCAATGTTGTTGAAATTCTTTATCCAATACGAAATAAAATTTATCAAGTTGGTGGATCGAATGCACAACGTGATCTTTTTAATTTATTATTAATACATTCAGCCGTTTATTCTAATAATCATCAACATCAAAAATTAGCTAAACGTTTAATTAATGAACGATGTTTACTGCGTAATAAAACAAAATCAAAATTGATGGAAAATTATGCTAATGCAATACTTAATGATTAATTAATTATAAAAGAATATTTTATGAAAAAGAACTAAGATTAAAGTTTTAGATTTTTGTTTTAATAAAACATTTAACAATACTCGTTTTTTCATCAATCGAAATACTATTAAAAAATTCAAGTCAAATTTTTCAACAATTGAGTAGAAATTTTTTGTTTAGAAGAAGTTTTAACTTGATCTTTGATATCGATACAAAACAGTTCTAAATATGTCCATATTATTTACTGGTTAGTTTGATTAAAAAATAAGTATATCTCGATGATGGTAAACTCAATTTGTTATTGGCTATAAATAACATAAAAGATTGTTTATACAATACTCAAAAAAAAACGAAGACAATTATCTGTTGCATACTTGAAATCGAATTGACCAGTTTTTAGCTGTTTTTTTTAATTAATTTTTAGAGCACGAAAGTTTCCAAGTGACAAATTCTTAGTCGACATCAAAATCTCAGCCCTAGATATTGACTTCACACATTCTCATCATACACTCTAAAATCTGCTACAGAAACTACAAAAGATTCTCCATGTGAATACAAACTCGAAACCAAAAAAAAAAGGTTCCGAGTTTATGTGCGTCCGAAGAACCTTTTTAGAGTGTATATGATGAGGGCATCGGATCATCCTGAATCAGCTTATTATGGTCATGAAAAATTAGCAAGCCATCAGAAGCTAAATCTAGTCTGAACTACTTTTAACTAACTATCAGAAACTCTCCATAGTTAGTAGTTGTCAGCTCATGCTTTCATTAGAAAAACATCAGAAAAGATTTTCATCTGTTGTGAAAATTATGTCAACCATTAGTATCATGTAACTATGAAAATGTCTAAGCATTAAGAAACCTAAAAATATTATTTTTAGCATAAAAAAATCGAAGTTTATTGCTTATTTTGTCTTCCTATCGATAATATTAGATTTGTACGAATCGACAGGCCTTTCAGTTGCGTTAATGTTAAACAATGACTTTTCTCGAAAGAACTAGTTCTCTGCCGGTTAAGTCAAGAATTTTAACCGGCTTATGAATAAATCTATGAAAGAATGAGAAACATTTACAAAATGAGGATCTAACCAAGACCAAAATAATTATCATTCACATTTTCTCTTACTTGTAGAATTGTGATATAAATGAAATCCTTAATATTTCATCTTCATTTACGATAATAAGCTTTAAAATGTCTTGTTTTGCTTAATCTCATAGAAACTCATTTATCATCGTTTATAATCGAGTAAATGTCAAGAGACAAAGATATTTTTCTATTTATTTTTCATATAAACAAAATAATCTCCACTGAATTCATTATCGAGTTTCTTAGCAATATATGTAATCATACAAATTATATTTGAGATTTGAGATGATATAACTCTTTTGTAGTCATTTGATTTGATTGCCATGCTATTCGAAGTATAAAATCCAATGAATAACTTGTATTCCATTGAGTTTTTTTACTCAATATTTCATCATATGAACCATTTTTAAAAAGAAATTTTGAAAACATTTGATTAGTCTAAAATATTGAACATCTAACTATGTAACTCTCAATGAAAGAAATAGAAAAAAAACAATACGAACATGCCAAGAATGAATATGTATAATTTCAACTTCATTAAAAGATGTATTTGTTGTACAACTATAATCAATTAAATATGGTTTTTGTATTAATTTTATTTGTCCTCGTCCAGCATAATGATTTATTGCTAAATGACTGGCATACATTGATATAACCTATTTTAAATTATCAAAAATAAAATCATCAAATTAATTAACTTACTCCAATATACCATTGTGGCCAAGATAGTATTGATAATCTTTGATCTTTTTCAACTAAAGTAAATTCATTTTGACATAACCATACACTTAACCAAAGAGCTAAACGTCCAACTAAAGCAATTTGTTGTGGTGGTCCATACCTTAAAATTTACATAAACGATGAGAATTCAAAAAAAATTCTTTTTTTCTAACCATGTTGATCCAACATGTGTTAAATTAACATCTAATAAATTTAATGTTTGAGCAATACGAGAAAGTTTATGTAATGTATAATCAAGACTATAACCACCAAGACCTATTTGAAATGAACAATCAAATGGAATATAATGAGCAAAATGTGGTGTTAAAAAAACATCTATATCTGTTCGTAAAATATAATCATATTGATTTAAAAAATTCGAATTTTCAAGTAAAATTCCTAATGAATCAAGATGACGACACCATTTTGGTACATGAATTTGAATTAATCTTAATAATTCATTATTATTTTTTGTTTTATCCCATAAAGAATTATAATTAATTCTAATACAATTATTTTTTAATAATTTATTATTATATTCATAACAACCTAATTCATCTAATAATGATGAAGGTAAAGAATAAATAACTAAATCAGTTTGCCAATCGGATGGTTGATTTTGAATTGTTTCAATCCATGAAAGATATAACCATTTTAATTCTGATATATAAACTGATGAACGTTCAATAGGAAAATGAACAATTATTGCTCGACGAATATTTTTTTTTTCAGTTTTTGTAAAACAATATTTTGGTGTTACATACAAATTATCTTCAGAATGAATTTTATCGAATAAATTTAAATGAGAACGAGAATATGTTACATAAGGATAATGAATAAATATATATAATAATATTAAAATAAGTAGAAATATGAAAAAGTTTCGTCTTCTGCGACGAATCATTTTTTTTGATTTTACTTATTAAAATACAAATATTATACGTTTACAAATATTACAAAAAAATCAGCAGGAAGTCAAGAATCTTATTACTTTTTCAATGTATTTTAAAAATAAGGGGAGAACAGAAAAAAAGAAGAATTAATAAATGATTCATGATTGAATTGATTGTTTGTATTTTTCTTCGGCTTCATTAGATATTATTTGTAATGATCAAGAGATGTTCACAGAGTGATTTTTTTTTATACCATGCCCTGTTGTCGAAAATGCATCGGAAAGAAAACTCGCTTTGCTCTGCAAAATCATCACATGAACAAAATGATAATACAGATAGAATTTGTCGATGATTTTTTTTTCTACTATATTCACTCGAATTTATATCTATAAATGGAGATTCTGAATAGCAGTTGGCGTATGGTCCTATGCAGTCTATTTTCGATTTTTTGACACTCGAAAAATGTTCTTTTTGAAGATGAAAAATTGAATATTTGATGTTGAAATTTGTAGACTATAAAGATCTGATCCTATCCTGTCCTACTTCAGGACATGACGGAGTAACCCTGGTTCCTTGAGCACCTCTAGTAATGATTTAGATAATAGCTTGTTTTACAGGACGCATAACACAAACAGCAGCAAAATGTTGATCGATACCCAATGTTGAAAAAAAATTTTGTTCTAATACTTAATTCGATATAGAATCCATCATATATATCATTCACTTTTTGAGTTTTGAATATGTTTCCAACATTGTAACTACTTATTTATCTGTAAAGAAAACGACATGAAGATTAATCTCTGATTAATTTTTCAGTTTACAAGTAACAACTACTAATCATCTTGCTAAATCAATTTCGTTAAAAAAAGGCAATCATCTATATTATATCTTTTCCATGCTTTAAATATCGAATCATGTTCTATCTTTTTTTTCTTTATTCGATTCTTCGTCAAAGAATAGCATAGTTCGTTAAAGAAAAGAAAGACAACGATATATCGCCATTAACAAAACACATATTTTCGTTTTATAAGAATAGAGAAAATATAAGAAAAAAAAACGATACCTATCGATTAAATTCTCGTAGGCAAATTAGGAGGAATCGATATGGAGAAATTACCAAAGGAGAGAACTTATTATATACATCCAGTGAATAATCATACAAATATTATTCATTATTATGACAATGGTAGTAATAATTCTGAAAATGGTGCTAATAATGCTGAAAATGATGCTAATAATGATGGCAATTTAGGGGTGTCAGCGTTCCCCATTCCTAGGAACAGAATGCTGAAAAACGGGGCACGTTGACATCCCTAATTTTTATGAAATTGGCTTTCCTTCGGTGAATTAGTAAAATTTCTGTTAAAAGTGAAAGAAACGTATGTTGCGTTCCAGTTTCTAGGAACGGAACGCTGAGGAACGGGGTAGCGTTCCCCGTTCCTAGGAACGGAACGCAAAGTTGACACCCCTAAATGGCAATGATGATATTATTGTGGATTAATGATGATGAAACATGAATAAAAAGAGAACATCTTTTTTTTTTATGAATAAAAGACAATAGATATTTTTATTAATTGATTGTCAAAGTCCAAGACAAAAATTGATTCAACTAGGTTAAAATAAATTAGACAAAGTTCAAATAGATATATAAGATCTGTTCCTTAAAATGAGAGAGCATTTAACTATAATCTTTGGTGCCGATTTAGATAAGTTTTTTTTTCGTAGTTTTGGTCTTTGTTTAACATACTTATTAATTGCTGTTGTTAATGTTTTCAATTCATCTAGTTATTGTTGTAGTGCATTGATCGATAGGTTAAATAAAAATTTTAAATGAAAAATAAAAAATAAAAATACAAACAGATTCTGTAAGTTGAGATAATGTTTTCTTCTTTTTATGTTATTAATCGAGGTTTTTTCTTTTGTTTTCATTTCAATATCATTCTAAATAATATGTTATCTGAAAATAATTTTTTTTCTTTTGATCAAACTTTTGTTAACCCTTTCAGGACGGTGGTGCAAAGGTTGTACCACCTATTTTTCCAGTGAAAAAAATATTTCGTTGATACTTAAGTATTAACACTTTTTATATATAGTGGTCATGGAGTGCTGCAACTGTCATGTTATACATATGTTTTCTTGATGCTGTGTATATCATTCTCAGACATTCACTTTTCTTTCTGTGACTGTATGATAATGTCATAGTTTCCCTGTCTTCTTCTGACATGTTGTCTTACGAGGGTGTTTGATAAGATTGTCAATCTCTATTGCTCTTGTATATACATATATATATATAGCTATTCTTTAGAAATATTTTTCAGTAT